GGGAGGCTGAGGCAGTAGGATCGCTTGAGCCCAGGAGTTTGAGGTTGCTGTGAGCTAGGCTGACGCCACGACACTCACTCTAGCCAGGGCAACAGAGTGAGACGTTGTCTCAAAAAAAAAAAAAAGACTTGACTGGATTAGGATTTAGAAAATTTAGCTTCCAGAAAGTCATTTCTCTGTTATAGATTTGCTTTTGATCTGGGGCCATTTATTCCATCTTCCCTTGCTTGTTTTCCTTTTCAGGGTAACAGCAATTCTATTTACCCTTATCATCACAGAGACTGCAGAACTGAGAATACGAGCTTAGGAGGCAATCATTCCTAGTTCTGCACATCAAGGCTCTATACACACGAGGCACCTTCATTTACTCTTTAAGAATGCCTTCCCCAAACAGAACCATAGAATGTGAGTTAGAAGGGATCATTAAGTTCAAATGAGGCTAAAAAGTGACACCTTTTCTTCCTCTCATTACAAAAAGTTACATATGTTCACTGAAGTATTTGGAAAATGGAGAAAAACAGAATACAAAAAAGAAATCATCTACTTTCCCAATATGCAGATTTAATATCTTTCTAATCATTTGTGTGTATATTTTTTACCTAACTAGAATCAGAGTATATATAATTTTGAACCCTACTTTTTTGGTCCCCTTAACAGATTATGTTAAAGTATGTAATTACTCATTTGTAATATGATTTTTTCCTACAATGTGATATATACTGACATATTTCTTTAAAAATACTAAAATGATGAATATTTTTACTGATAATTTTTTTTTTTTTTGCCTACTGCTGGGTTAGATTTACTGATAAAATTTTATATACATCTCACTATTTCCCAGAAGTGGAACTGCTGCTTAAAGAGTGTGCATATTTTAAGACTTCTGATGCTGAGAATAACCGGAAAAATACATCAACTTATATAACCAGCAGCAGTGTATGAGAGTTGCTGCTTCTCTGTGCTCTTACTAGCAACAAATCCCTATTTTTAAATGAAGAAACTGAAGCCCAGAAAGGGGAATGACTTACCCAAGGCCATGTTATCATCTTGATAAAACAATAAAAAGGAAATAGCATACCCAGAATCAAGAGCAGCTCCTGAGCCCTTCCAAGAGCAAAGACAGGAATAAGACCTCTGCCCCCTCTATTTACAATATCGTGGACAGTGTTACAGAATCTCGCTTCTCGCTCTTCACGTTTCTCATGGATGTGGGTCCCGTAAGTAGATTCCTAAATAACATGTCAGAAGTGTGAGACTAAGACCGATGATCCCAAACAATGTAAAAGTTTAACAACAATGAAATGCTGATGCAGAGTAATTCGTTTCTCCATTAACATGCCATTTACTTGAACACATATTATTATATTAATTGGAAAGAAGAGCAAACAAGAGTGCTAGAATTCAGATCTAAGTAATAAGAACTTTTTAGAAAATGGAATCAAGAAATAGTCAAAAATGTATCTTCTCCCCTATGTCATTATATTTTTTTCTTTTCTTTTTTTTTATTTCAGCATATTATGGGGGTACAGATGTTTAGGTTACGTATGTTGCCCTTGCCTCCGCCCTCCCCCCCAAGTCCAAGTTTCAAGCGTGTCCATCCCTTCGATGGTGCGCACTGCACTCTTTGTGTATGCAAATACCCGTCCCCTCCTCCTCCCTCCCTCCCCCCTGCCCGACATCCAATAGATGTTGTTCTTATATGTACACTTGTATGTTAATCAGTTAATACCAATTTGATGGTGAGTACATGTGGTGCTTGTCTTTCCATTCTTGGGATACTTCACTTAGTAGAATGCATTCCAACTCTATCCAGGAGTATACAAGAGGTGCTATATCACCATTGTTTCTTAAAGCTGAATAGTACTCCATGGTATACATACACCACATTTTATTAATCCACTCATGTATTGATGGACACTGGGTTGTTTCTACATCTTTGCAATTCTGAATTGTGCTGCTATAAACATTCGGGTGCAGGTGTCTTTCTTATAGAGTATCATTTGTTCTTTTGGGTAGATGCCCAGTAATGGGATTGCTGGATCGAATGGTACTTCTACTTGTATCTCTTTAAGGTATCTCCATATTGCTCTCCACAGAGGTTACACTAGTTTGCAGTCCCACCAGCAGTGTATGAGTGTTCCTATCTCTCTGCCATTATTTTTTTTAACCATTTTGCTTTCCACGGCAGATGGTAGGGAAGGATATTTCTCCTACCTCTGATAAGTCAGTTTTTAAATCAGAAATATTTTTTCTTACACTTCTGTTTAGGAGTATCCCTTAAAGCCTTACTATGTATGGTCCACTGACAGGCAGCACTGGCATTCCCTGGGACCTTACTAGAACTGCAGAATCTCAAGCCCCAGTCGAGGATTACTGAATCAGAATCTGTATTTTAACAACATCATTACATGATTCATAAGCACATTAAAGTTTTTTTTTTTTTTTTTGAGACAGAGTCTCACTGTGTTGCCCGGGCTAGAGTGCCGTGGCGTCAGCCTAGCTCACAGAAACTTCAAACTCCTGGGCTCAAGCAATCCTCCTGCCTCAGCCTCCCGAGTAGCTGGGATTACAGACATGTGCCACCATGCCCGGCTAATTTTTTCTATATATTTTTAGTTATCCAATTAATTTCTTTCTAATTTTAGTAGAGACGGGGTCTCGCTCTTGCTCAGGCTGGTATCGAACTCCTGAGCGCAAACAATCCGCCCGCCTCGGCCTCCCAGAGAGCTAGGATTACAGGCGTGAGCCACCGCGCCCGGCCAAGCACATTAAAGTTTAAGAAGCACTGCTCTAAAGTCTGTTACCATGAAAATAACGACTTTCTGAGGATTAAAAAAAAATGAATCTCAGCTAGGGACGGTGGCTCATGTCTGTAATCTCAGCACTTTGGGAAACTGAGGCAGGCGGATCGCTTGAGGCCAGGAGTTCAAGACTATCTTGGGCAACATAGTGAGACGATCTCTACAAAATTTTTAAAAATTAGCTAGGTGTGGTGGTATCCGCCTGTAGTCCCAGCTACTTGGGAGGCCGAGGTGGAAGGACTGCTTGAGCTTGGGAGTTGGAGGTTGCTGTGAGCTATGATCATGCCACTGCATGTCAGCCTGGGCAACAGAGCGAGAGCCTGTCTCAGAAAAAAAAACTAAAAAAACCCCAATAAATTTATATCTAATAACATATTATGAAAGTAAGATCAAAATATTTTTTCCACTAGAAAAAATTCTGCTCACATTACATTAATTACAATACAGTACATTAATACTTACAATGATAAGAATGTCAGGTTTAATATTAGGAATTTCCGCTGCCATTAAGTGCCTATCTTCTTGTCTTGAGAAATCACCTGTGTACAAAAGCTATGAAAAAGATAAAGCGAGAAAGTCAGGACTGGGAGAAGGCTTCACTTTGCTAGTGAATAGATTAAGCTCATAAAATCTAAAAGCACAATTTAAAAAAAATTGCCTAAAACTGATTAAACTTAGATGCAATGCTTGTATCTAATTCAAAATGTATAACTTAGGTAAGTCACTAAACCATCCAGTGTTTCCATTATTTAATCTAATAAATGGGAATAATATATTCCCAGAATTATCCCACAAAAATAACCTATGTATTACTAAGAAACTTCAGAAGTGCTCTGAACTTCTTAGAGAAAAAGGGCATGCAGATAAGGAAAGGAATTTACTGCGGTACATAGGAGCACTGTCTAAATGGGAGACAAAATCACAAGAGAATATGCATCAAATTCCAAATGAAAATTCAGATCTGCATTCATACTATTTCCTGCTTATTTTTTGTGCCTTGGAGCAAATTGCAAGAATTATAGTTTAGTGATAAACTATACAATTCCATGTGTAAAAGTTTCAAATGTATGAGCAGCTGCAAAATATTCAGGACAATATTACACTAGAGTATTGGTTCTCAACTCTAGCTGCACACTAGAATCACCTAGAAAACTCAAAAAGAAAAAGGCCAAGCTACACCTCCAGACCTGATTCAATAGATATTTCTTTAAAAGCTCCCTAAGTGATTCAAATGTGCAGCCAGAGTTCAGAACTGCTGCTCTAGAGTCGAGGAACCTGCTCTATTAGTCCACCCATATGTTCAGAAGTTCCAGACTTCCATTCTGCTTTTCTATCAAGGATGGCTACAAAGATCTTTCCTAATTAATCTCCCTCACTCTTGCAGCCCACTCTGCTCAGGGGCTTATCTGTGAATATTAAGCCATCAGGAGGACATGAATACTAAATTGTGCTTTAATTTTAAATGGATGCAGCCACAAAGACAGCTCTTTCCTAATAGGTTTTCTAAAGGACACTGAAAAGGAATTAATCCTGTGGGGTGTCAGGGAACCTATTCTGAGATGCTTGTTTTACTCTTTTCTCTATCTTGATATAGAAAGTATTATAATAGAGGTAGGAATTAGGATATTTAAAAGGAAAAAATATCAACTTTATTTTTATCTTATGTTTCAGTGTTTTGACACTTTGCAAGTCTTAGGAATTTTTTTTTAATATTCCTTGATGGCACAAAGCTCTGCACTGATTTCTCTTGGGGAGAAAAGTACCAGAGCCAGAGGAAAGGGTACCTTCACACCCGCGATCTCAATCATAAACATGGCGGCTCCCAGGACATGGCCTGCGTGGTAACACCAAAACTTGATTCCTGCAACTTCCTTAACTTCATGAAAGTTGATAGTTTCAATCTTGTCCATACTTTCCTCCAAATCTGTCTCAGTATACAGCATGTCGTCCGCTGATATGTTACTAAATTTTGAAAGATGACAGCAAAAGGAATTAAGAATAAGATTTTTTTAAGTCTTTGAATGCAAAGAAATTTTCTGTGGATGACATCCATGAAGATATTTGTTAAAAATATACTGTATGAATCGTGCTATTTAAAATCACTCAGACATTCTGTCTATTTTTTTGAGTGAATAGCTACAAAACTTGATTTTAAGCAAAGCACACAGTAAATTAAGACACTAAGTTAAACGTACTCTCAATTTTAAGTAATACACACAGTAAATTAGTACAAAATACTCTAATAGTATTTCTCAACGTTTTTCTCTGCCCCAACACTCCTGAGAGATATAACACACTCATATACATTGAATTGTGGCAGAGATTTCTCATACTGGGATGTGAGTAGATTTTTATACAAAGTCTAGCATAACTTTTCTCCTGAAAATTATGTTAATGTAATTCCTAAAAAGCAAGAGAGAATAGTGGTTAAGGATATAGACTCTGGAGCCATATTGTTTGCATTCAAATCCCAGTTGTCTCTTACTGTGACCATTTTAGGCAAATAACCTAACTTTCTGTGCCTCAGTTTCATCATCTGTAAAATGGAATTTATCATAGAACCTATATCATGACTTGGTGTTTAGATTAAGTGGGTTAATATATATTAAGAACTGAGGACTGTGCCTCGTGTGTGATAAGCATTATCTAAGTCTTAACTAGTGTTAATATTAGTAAGTATAACTTTTCTAATCCTATTTACATATGAAGAATAAAAAATAGTATTTTAGCTACTCTCAGAATATACATATCAAGTAGTCAACTTCTGAAAGTTAATAATTTATGTTGTAGGTATCTCAAAGATGCTCTAAACTTTTTGTTAGAGGAGTAGATGTTCCTCTTAGAACTGATAAGAACTCCCCCAGGGAACTTTTTAATTTAAGACAATCAATTTTCTCTGATCAAATAATCCAAAATAAGAATTCAGTATATAATGCTGCATAATGTATTTGGTTTCAAATTTTAAAAAAATTGTGAAATGCTAGTTAGAGTGTTTCTATCATACTTTAAAGCTCACACAA